TGCTTTGGCAGCCTGGGGTTCACCGGTTCGGATCCTGGGCATGGACCTACACACTACTCATCAAGCCATGCTGTGACAGCATCCCACATAGAAGAGCTAGAATGACCTACAACTAGGATATACAATTACATACTGGGGCCTTGGGGAGAAAATAAAAAAGAGGAAGATTGGCAACAGATGTTAGCTCAGGGCCAATCTTCCTCACCAAAAATTCATCTTTAAAAAAATATATATGCCATCCCAAATTTATACAAAAGCAGCACAAAGAAGCTACTTTTGCCCTGAGAGCATTTGCTGACAGGGGCAAATTTGAGCTTCAGCCTTGATGGCATCTCTGGGCAGGGGCTGCCTAGCTCCAAGCCCAGAGTGTTCCCCGGCAGGACAGTCTAGGGCAAAACTTTCTCCCTGAAGTTGGATTTCAGAGGACTCACTCCACAGGGTAAGAGGAAAGCAAAATTAAACCTAGTCTATACATTCCTACTCCCAAGCAAGTGCTAAGAAACTTGCCTTTGATGTGAGCAGGGTGGGGGCGCTATGGGAACCCATACTTGAAGTTATAATCACAAGCTATCTCTTATGTGGATTTTTAACTCAAATTCACGTCACCTGGATGATTAAAATAAAACCTCAAGCCATGAACTTAGATTAATGTGATCCTAGACACTGATTCCAATAGTTGCCTGTGGACACAAATCTCTCAAGAGGAAGAAACCATCATCTTAGGCATCAAAATATTTCCACAAATATTTTTAAAGGACAAGGAATAGCACAGAGTCAAAATTAACCAAGAATGCACAGAAACAAGGTACCTTGAGAGAAAGCCAGCAGAAAAATACCTTCAAAATCATAATTGGAAATATCAGACAGTCTAATGCAATTACTTTGTTTAAAGAACCAAAAGACAATCTTTACTATATTTGCAGGTAATGATAAAGTATAAAAATAGTGGTGTGACAGATATACAAAAGAACTACACAGAGCATTTACTAATTTACAAATATTTATAAATAAAACATTATTTTAATTAAAAACACAATGGATGAGTTCAGGAGATTAAGCAGAGCTGAAGAAAGAGTTAATGAACTGAATTAGCTCAGAAGCATTTATTCATAATGCAATGCATAAAAACAAAGAAATAGAAAACTTGAAAGAGATTAAGAGACGTGGAAGACAGAATCCTCAAGTGAGGATAGAAAGAAAAGAACACAGGTGTTGTTTGAACAGCTAATGATGAGAATTTTCCAAAAATTTCCTAGATGAAAGACACCAAACTTAAGTCAACATATTTAGGAAGCCCAGCAAATTCCAAACTATAAGTAAAAAGAAAGCCGTACGTAAAATCATTCCCCCGAAGATGTAGAACATCAAAGACAAAGAGATTTTGAAAGTCACTGGAGGAAGCAAACACATTTCCTTCAAAGTGGGAGGCTTTGAGCTGACTTCTCTAGAGCAATAATGGGCATATAGACACAGCGGAATTATATCCTGATGTGCTGAAAGAAAATAACTGCCAACCTATAGTCCTACATACAAGGAAAATATCTTTTCAGAATGAGATTAAAATATATTTTTAGAAAGCCAAGATCAGAAAGTTCACTAAAGATAATTCTAAATGCTGTGCTTTAGGCAAAAAGAAAGTGATCACAGTTTCAGAAAGTCTGTAATGAAAAAAGAAATTAAGGGCAAATAAGCTAGCCTATATCTGGAAAACTCTAAAAACTAGTTCAGATATAAAATTCTAATAGTGTCCAATAGGCTTTAAAAAAGAAGGGCGAATTAAAATTCATGACTCAGTAACATGTTGGAATGGGAATAAAAGTAGCAAAGTGTTCGAAGATTCTTGTTTTGTCCAGGAGGACAGTAAAGATGTTAACTGATGTTTTTGGAGAACTTAAGTGTGCACTTTGCATGCTTTAGGATAATCAATGAAATAATAGAAACAGAGTAGTTAAATTCTCAACTAGCATAGAAAGGGGTTGGAATAATGATGTAATCCATCAATCTAAAAGAAGATAATCAAAGAAAAAAGAGCACAAAATAAATAGTAAAAAATAAAAAGGTGCATTTGTACCTAAATATATCAGTAGTTGTAATAAATGTAAATGAATAAAGTCCTCTGGGTAAAATGAAAAGATTGTCAGACTTCCTTGAAAAAATAGCCTATAACTGCATGCTCTTTAAAAGATGCTTCTAAAATATGAGGATAGTGAAAGTATAAAAGGATGGGAAGATATAATACACAAATACTAACTAAATGCATCTAAGGTAACTATTATAATGGGACAAAATAGAGTTTAAATAATAAAATATTAATAGAGATAAAGGAGATTTTTTCATAATGATAAAAGCTTCAATTTATCAAAAACATAAAGCAATTTTAAATTTGTGCGTACTTAATAGCATAGCCTCAAAATATGTAAAGCAAAAAGGAGACAGAACTACAAGAAGAAATTTTTTTTTAAGATTCCCACCTGAGCTAACAACTGTTGCCAATCTTCCCTTTTTTTTTTCTGTTCTGCTTTTTCTCTCCAAATCCCCCCAGTACGTAGTTGTATATTTTTAGTTGTGGGTCCTTCCAGTTGTGGCATGTGGGATGCCACCTCAGCATGGCCAGACGAGTGGTCCCTTGTCGGTGCCCAGGATCCGAACCGGCGAAACCCTGGGCCGCCAAAGCAGAGTGGGAACTCAACCACTGGGCCATGGGGCCAGCCCCACAAGAAGAAATTTTTTAAAAACAACTACCCTTTTGGAAGAGTTTAACACACTCTTCTCAATTAATTCAAGTAGAATAAGTAGGTTAACCACCCCCAACAGCTATATAGATAAATTAGACAACTCAGTTATCAGACTTGACCCAACAGATCCACATTACTTCCACAAACTGAAGACTATTCCTTCTTTGCAAGCACATACAGGACAAAAATTGATTGTGTATGGGGTCATAAAACAAGTTTCAACAAATTTCAGAGGACTGAAAACATATGGACTGTTTTCTCTGACCATGATTTAGTCAAGCAAAAAAATCAAAACAGAGACAGTAAAACATAACTCATATGTCCGAAAATGAAGAAACACTCGCTTACTGGATATCCCTGTTTGTGACTAACAAGTGCACAAATTCAGCATGTCCACAACACCCCCAACTCCCTCATTTTCTGCCCCATCTTCCTCACTGACACATTATCCACCTCATTGTCTAAGGCATCATTTGTGGTCCCACTGACATGGCCTTAGTTCAGGCCTTCACCGGTGATAGTGATGTCATTTTCTCTGTAACTGGACTCCTCTCTTTGAGGTTCATCGGTCTCCTACCTGCCACAATATTCTTTCTAAAAGATTGGTTTAATCATATAAAGCCTTCATTGAAAAACTTTTAAAAGGCCTCAATACCAGCAGGATAAAATCCAAACTCCAAAACATGACTTTCAAAGATCCTTGCATAGTCTCTGCCTTTGTTTCCATCTTTATTCCCTCTCAAGCCCTCATGTACTTTTGCTCACCAGCTCTGCTCTCTGAACATCCCTCCTGTCTGTCACCTTCTTAGCTTTGCGCATACTAATCCCTCTACCTGAAATGTCCTTTCTTATTGCTCACCCACTTGACCACTTCTGGAAGACACAGCTCAAGGATCACCTTCCTTGAGATGCTTTGCCTGGTCAATCTTCATAGTGTTATTCACTTCTTTGCTTTCTACCCTAGAATTTTTTTTTTTACCTCAGTTTTGTAAATTAGCTATTTAATGTCTACCTATTGTGTTAGACCATAAGCTACACAAACACAGGATTTTTTTTTTCATTCATTTTTTTTCATTCTTGGTATTTATTTAGGAAGGGCTCAAAAAATGACCTTCATGAATAAAATGAGAATTAGTAGGATAGTTTAAACACATTTATTGAAAGAAGGAAGAAAGTTGGTCAACAGGTTGGCAGTGAGAAGGGAGAGCAACTGTATAAAAAGGAGATGGGATAATATGTAAAGAGTATCAGACAGCACATTTGGTGTGATAGGCTTAAAACCTTTTAGCCTCTTGAAGGAAGGGATGCCAGGTAGACTTGTGCAGTTTTTATACTGCACAACTCAAGAGGGTGCCATACACATCTAGTCAAGGATGCGATTGTGTTGTGCAGTGCAATCCTGAGTGGTCACCTACAGTTTCCTTGATCAAATAAATGAATCACATCCTTAGGACCCAGGAAATAATTGTTATTTATTTATTACAGCCATTAGGAGTCATTAAGAAAAGGACTACATTTTGCCTACTCTAAATAGTGAGAGAAGTGTGTAATACCTTTCAGAAATCTTCCCATCAAAAACAAAAAGTTTAGGTACCTAATGTAGCATGTTTTAATTACGTGGGGTGAAAAAAATCACAATTAATCCAGATAAATGAGCCATTGCACTTGGGTGAAAACCACATCCACCTGTGGCATAATTTACAAAGTTTGCTTAAGGTTTGCATGTGAATATTATGACTTGCAGTCAAATAAATTCAGACAAATAATTTAGAAAGTAAATTTATATACTTGTCTTACCTAGTTTATTAAATAATGGGTACCTGGAAGCCCCAGGACTGAGCCTCCCATGGGGATAATTAGAATTCACTAACTTGAACCAATGGCTTTGTCTGCTTCAAAGTCTCATGCTGGTTTGGAGACTCTGCATTTCATAACCAGAACACCGTTTGGTTGCTGAAAGTATAAACCAAACACTGTCATGGCAATTTTTTCTGAGAAGCAGAAGAAACAAAAATAATAATCTCTGCAGGTTTCACCTGCAAATGCTGTTTTAAAGCAACGAGTCTTGTTCACTCCCCACATCAAGAAATCATGTTTCCCTGTGCAAGCTGAAATTCCTGGGCCTAAATATGTTCTCCACACCCACCTCTTACACAGCTTCCATGTCACTGGATGTGTTCTTCAAAGTAGTTTCTCAGAATAAGAATAGCCATTGGCTTATTGCAAACCACATATTTTATCTGTTTTGATATCTCTTTTCTACAGATCCTCCTGCCGTGGAGCCAGCATTCCTGGAAATCCGGCAAGGACAAGACCGAAGTGTCACTATGAGCTGCCGGGTACTGAGGGCCTATCCCATACGGGTGCTGACCTATGAGTGGCGTTTGGGCAACAAGTTATTACGGACGGGTCAGTTCGACTCTCAAGAGTACACAGAATACCCGGTGAAGAGTCTTTCCAATGAGAACTATGGGGTTTATAACTGTAGCATCATCAATGAAGCTGGAGCCGGCAGATGCAGCTTTCTTGTTACAGGTAAGAGTCCAAGTATTTTGCACTATATATATTGCATTATATATATTTTTAGAGCAACGGACTATAGGCTTACATCAACATAAGAATGAAAGCATTTTGCAAGTCCGTGGAGCATCCTATGAGTAGCTTGACTGTCTAGTTAGAGCTTGTACTCATTTATTTTCAAGGCAAGTTTCTTTTACTACTTAAGATAGTTTATGTGCCTATAAAATTAGACAGAAGTTTATGTGAATTCAAGCAGATTTGGTGATGAGGTTGCTTATTTTGAGGGTTTCAGTAATAAAGTGACAACTCTTAACTAGCTTTCTTTAGATCAAATTGCAAATATTCATACATATTTTCATCTGCAAGGCTACAGTCCCTTGTGAACTGATGCCAGCTTTGGTTTTCTTAATAGCAGAAACAGTGCTTTCTTTTTTTGTCCTCTTTATTTATTTATTACCTCTTAATGTGTGGTGAATCTCCATTTTGTCCTTGGCTTACCATAGGTTCACAAATATTCAAATAGTAAGCAATAAAGTTGTATCTGGCATATAATGAATTGTAGAGAAGTGTCAATACTTTTTGATATTATATTTTAATGTATTAAAAAATATTAAATCTGTATTAAATCTTAGGTACTTATTTAAATTATTTTTGTAATCTATATACTGAAGTAAATCTGTGTTATTTTTGAGCTGGGGTTTGGGCATACATTAAAAGGATATACTCTTTTTCATTATTATTTTGTTCAAGGTAAAGTTAGTTGTAACAGAGTGTTTATACTAGTAAAAAAAGAAATTGGACATTGTATATCATCTGAAAAGCAATCATATAAATTATGATTACAGTGTTTCAGACTTAATTAAAACTTGTGCATTGGTAATATAATTCTTATTAATAAGTTCTTATTTATCACAGAACTCTTGAAATATGAATTGCCTTGAGACATTTTTGCTTCCTGAAATACAATATTAGGCAGATGAAATGTAATTCACTAACCAAAATGTCCTTCCTGCTGGAGCTTGCCACCTCTTGGTTTCACATGCTTCTTATTAACGTTCAGTTAAACTGAAAGCTGTTCTACTTTGATTCTTGAAATGCACTATTAAAACAAAAGCAAAAGTCCACAGGACAATACTACTTACATGGCAATCTAACTGCTAATTTTTATCACTAGGAATATTTACAAGAGAAAGAGAATGTAGTCTATTACTCTATGGGGTAATTTAAAGGGTACCAAGTACTTTCATCCCTTATTTATAAGTTATTTTCCCAAGGCAAAAAGAATCCTTCAAAGACAATTGTTTTTCACATATTTGTACAAATAGAGTGCTGTACTTTCCTTCATGAATCCCCCAAAACAAAAATACTCCATAAAATTACATCTCTTCCTTCAATCTTTTTGGTCTTATAAACATAGTAATTTTCTTGGGTGATACTGTTTTCTGACTTCAAGCTAGTTTAGACTGTGCTGCCTCTGCAAGATTTTCATTTGCTCTGTTATGTGATCCAAATCTTGTTTTTTGAACTAGAAGAAAAGCTGAGACCAGAAGAAACACTAGCTCCATTTTCCCACTCCAGATCCCTGGGTGCAGTAAGTAGATTTTCACAGCTGCAGAAAGGAATAAACCCATTATGGACTGCCCATAGAGGGAGAGGAAATGGTCCCATGCATTAGTTTGTTTCTAGTGTGAACTTTCCAATCTTCAGGTCAACCTAGTTGATTCAAGATCTCTACATACAATCGAATACGGTTTTGAAGAAGAGGAAAGGAAATGACTGAATTCCAAATATCGTATAATTCATCAAAATATATAAAGAAATGAGTAAAACTCCAAGTAACCGTGATTTAAGCAGGATACAAAATTATTTCATGCAGGTTAAGGGCTTGAAGTGTCATTTTAGAAACCAACATAATGGCTCTGTTCCACAAAGTCCTCAGGGATTCAGGCTTCTTCCATCTTATTGCTCGACCATCATCAATAGATGTCACATCTCATAGCCCTAGTAAGTACTTAAGTTCCAGGCGTTACTTCTGCATTTCAGCATATTCTCTCTTTTTAAGGATACTTCTCAATACTTTTAGATACCCTTTCTACTTGCATCTCATTGGAGATACCTTAATCATATTGCTGTACCTGCAATAAAGACTGGGTATATATTTTATCCTAGGAAGATTAAATCACACTTTCTCACATATATTTTAAATTGTCTTTATTGAAAATATTGCAATGAAATTAAGTTGAGATTTTCAAGGAAAATCTAGGATCTATGGTTTTATCTCTGCAATACTTAATACCATTACTGATAGTCAGAAGCACTTTTCAGGGTCTTAGAATAATTAAAAAAGACAAGGGGCCGGCCCGGTGGCACAGCAGTTAATTTTGCACGTTCCACTTCGGCGGCCCGGGGCTCACCAGATTGGATCCTGGCTGCAGACATGGCACCACTTGGCAAAAGCCATGCTGTGGCAGGCGTCCCACGTATAAAGTAGAGGAAGATGGGCACGGATGTTAGCTCAGGGCCAGTCTTCTTCAGAAAAAAGAGGAGGATTGGCAGTAGTTAGCTCAGGGCTAATCTTCCTCAAAAAAATAAAAATTAAAAAATAAAAAAGACAAGAATAAGTTTAATCATGACTCAAGAGATTTTGTTGATAAATAGTGGAATTCAGGGTACCATATTAGTTACTTATTGCTGCATAATCAATTGCTACAAACTTAGCATCTTGAAGGCCTCTTACATGTCCTGGAAGATGTCTGCAGGTCCTAGAGACCACCTGTAGTTCTTTGTCATGTGGGCCTATTCCAACATGGCTGCTTACTTCATCAAGCCAACAGGAAGAATCTCTAGGCCTAGTCTGCTAAGATGGAATCATATATAACAAAACATAATTGTGGAGGTGACATTCCATCACAGTTTCCTCCCACCCTCAATGGAAGAGAATTTCTTGCAAAGACACAAAAAACAGAGGTAGGAATCACTGGGGGTCACCTTAGCATCTGTCTGCCACAGGTATCAGCATATCCTGCCGCTAAGAATACTTTTAAAATATAGCCTACATATGAAGGAAACTGCTTTGTCTACAGCACTAATTAAAGAAATCCTTCGTAGTTTAATCCCTTTCAATAAACATGGCAAATAGGGTTTTACCAAGCAAAAATTTGCCTGTGACTGTTACTCTCACCTCTAGTTTGGAAACATTTGTGCTAAGATTGTGCATCCTGTATTTTCCTTCTGGTGTGTTACAATATTCAGATTGACACATTGGAACTCCTGTTTTCTACATGTTCAACATCATTAGATCAGACACATAAGCAAAATTAGACAGATCCTAGAAAACAAATAAGGCAAAAGTGAGGCATTTTTATAAAAGGGAGCACATGTTATCACCCAGTGAATGTAAAGAAATTTGGAATGCCTGAGAGCTGTAATATTGCCTAAGACAAGATGTTGGAGGACTCTAGAATTGCTTAGCTCTGAAGAATAAAAAGGAAGAAATAGCAACCAAATCAGGTTTGACTACAAAACAAACATTTTGGTCTTGTTTTCTAATGTCAGATTGAATTATATAGTGTCCAGATAGGTACTATATTTTATTCTCTGGCAATGCATATGTTTGTGCTGTTCAGCTAGGTGTTTCTTATGAGTGTCTAAGAATGAACAACATAAGATTGTGGAAAAATCATTAACTATTGGAAGTAAGAGCAAATGAACTGATGCAAAAATAGTATCTAGTAAAATTCCCTTTGATAACTCTAAAAGATGAGAAACTTCAATGTCAAATTAAATATTTTTCAGGGCTAGAATTCAGTTCAATTTATTAGAATTTTATTTATGATGATACCAGATAGACAAGTGGATCCCAGTGTTTCAGCCAGCTTGTGAATTGCAGTTATATTAAAAAATGTAGAGCAGAAAGTGCATAATATGTCCTAACAACTCTTAATGTATAGCATTCTATAGTGTACAAAGTGATTCCACTCATTTACTTTTCATCTCAAACAATCTCATTATGTGTGTAGAAGAGGTGGTATCATCCTCCTTTGACAGATAAGCTAACAAAGGCTCAGGAAGCCAAAAATAAAAGGTGTGTCTTCTGATTGTAGATTCAAGCTCTTTCCAATACACCTCAGTGATGCTGTTATTAGTGGTGCTAAAGGAATTTTTATACTTAAGCTAGAGAAAATGTGAGTGAGTCCATGCTGACTCTGAAAAAGTAGAAATAGTAAGGTAAATATTAATTAAGGAAAGTAATGCTATCACTTACACAAATTTTGCCAAAGTATTTCCTTTAATCTTGGATCTAATTTGTACAATATTTTAGATAAATTTTATTTTTCTCTAGTAAACATTTCATGAGTAATCTGTATTTTAGATCATACTTAAAGCAAAAGTTAAATTAAAATTTTTGTTGTAGTCACAGAAGTATGATGGCTCCTTAAATTCTCTACATTACTCATTTTCTTCTTTACGAAATCATCTAATTCCTCCAGTGAAATATTTGGAGCAGTGTGGCTATCAAAAGTCTATCGTTGGGCTTTTTAAAAAATAAAGCATTGCAGTGTTAAAGATCAGTTTAAAGTAGATTTCAGTCACTTATATTTTGTTAACAACAGTTCAAAATGTAGACAAACTAAGAAAATCATGGTTTTCATCTGATATACTAATTTCTGAGTAACGCACCTGTGGGCTGTAGTAGACCAGAACACAAGAAAACTCAAGTGTAAATGCTTTTTTTTACAGTCTAAAGAAAGGATGAAAATTAATTGAATTTAGTAAAATTAAAGTAGATTTGAAAAGTTAAACATCAAATTCAAAAAATTTGTCCCTGGGCAGAGGGAGGGAACCATAACTGAGAGTTGGACCCAGGGAGTGGAGTTGAGCTAAGGCTGACCACATCTTGGAACCAGGAAAGCAGAATTAGAAATCTGGATGCAGCCAGAGGCAGGATTCAAGACTTAACACTCGGGATGGCTTGTGCTCTGATCTGAATTGTGTTCCCCAAAAATTCACATGGT